CCAGATGGCTTCACAGGTAAATTCTGCTGCCAAACATGCAAAGAAGAACTTATACCAATTCTTCTCTCTCTTCTAAAGATGGAAGAGGGAACACTCCAAAGACATTCTATGAAGCCCCCATCACCCAGATAACAAAACACCACCAAGAAAAGAAAATTACAGACCAGTATCTTTGACGAATATAGACACAAAAACCTACCTAAAGAGACAAAACAAACAAAAAAAACAAACAAACAAAAAAAAAAGAGACAAAACACCTATACTCGGAAAACTATAAGACGCTCAGGAAAGAAATCAAGGATGACACAAACAGATGGAGAGATACACCATGTTGTGGAACTGGAAGAATCAATATTACAAAAATTAGTATACTACTCAAAGCAATCTACAAATTCGATGCAATCTCTATCGAACTACCAATGGCATTTCTCACAGAATTAGAACAATAAATTTTGCAATTTGTAAGGAAATGCAAAAGACCCCGAATGGCTAGAGGACTCTTAAGAAAGAAAAATGGAGGTGGAGGAATCAAGCTTCTAGACTTCAGATTTTTTTTTAAGACTTCAGATTATACTACAAAGTTACAGTAATCAAGACAATATGGTACTGGCACAAAAACAAAAATATGTATTAATGGAATAGGATAGAAAGTCCAGAGAAAAACTCACACACTTATGGTCACCTAATTTATGACAAAGGAGGCAAGAATATATACCATGGAGAAAAGACAGCCTCTTCAGTAAGTGGTACTGGGAAAACTGGACAGCTACATGTAAAAGAATGAAACCAGGACACTTCCTAATACCATACACAAAAATAAACTCAAATGGATTAAAAACGTAAATGTAAGACTGGATACTACAAAACTCTTAGGAAAACACAGGAAAAACACTCTTTGATATAAATCACAGCAAGATTTTTTCTGACCTACTCCCTAGAGTGATAAAAACAAAAATAAAGAAATGGGATCAAATTAAACTTGAAAGTGTCTGCAGAGCAAAGGAAATCATAAAGAAGACAAAAAGACAACCCTTAGAATGGAAGAAAATATCTGCAAATAAAGCAACTGACGGATTAATCTCCAAAATACACAAGCAGTTAATACAGCTCAGTATCAAAAAATCAAACAGCCCAATAAAACAATGAGTGGAAACCTAAGCAGACATTTCTCTAAAGAAGACATACAGAGAGCCAAGAAACCCATGAAAAGATGCTCAACATCAGTAATTATTAGAGAGATGCAGATCCACAGAAATCTAGAGAGATGCAAGACTACAATGAGGTACCACTCCACATCAGTCAGAATGGCCATCATCAAAAACTCCACAAAAAAAATAAAAGCTGGAGAGGATGTGGAGGAAAAGGAACCCTCTTACACTGTTGGTAAGAATGTAGATAGACACAGCCACTTTAGAGAACAGCATGGCGGGCCCTTAGAAAACTAAACAGTAATACCATATGACCCAGCAATCCCACTCGTGGGTATATACCCTGAGAAAATCTTAACTCAAAAAGACACAGGTACCCCAGTGTTCACTGCACCACTATTTACAACAGCCAGGACATGGAAGCAACCTGGATGTCCATCAGTGGAGTAATGGAGAAAGAAGATGTGGTACATATACACAATGGAATATTACTCAGCCACAAAAAGCAATGAAATTGGGTCATGTGCAGTGATGTGGAGGGATCCAGGGGCTGTGATACAGCGTGAAGGAAGTCAGAAAGAGAAAAACAAACATCATGTATTAATGCATAGATTAATATACAGTCTAGAAAAATGGTACAGGCGAACCTGAGACAGAGACGAAGACACGGAGAATGGACGCATGGACAAAGAGGTGACAGGAGAGCGACACACACTGGGAGGTTAAGACGGATGTGCACACAGTGCCTCCCGGAAAACGGCCAGTGGGGGCCGCTCAACAGCATGGGCAGCTCAGCTCGGGCTCTGTGACGACCCGGGGCGGGGAGCGAGGTCCACGAGGGAGGGGAACATAGTACACCTGGGGCTGGTCTGCACGCTTACAGCAGAAACCGACCCAGCACTGTGAAGGGTTATATTCCTTAGCAACACATGCGGGAAGCCCAAACCACTTAATCTCTTACCTTAGAAGTCTTATGAAAACTTAGACTGTAGTAACAGAATACGTATCTTGGGTATTAGAAAGCACGTGAAACAGAAGAGAGAAAATATGGAGGGTTGTAAATTTGGCCAGCGATATATTCCTTAGGGCTTCCCTGAGAGCTCAGTTGGTGAAGAATTCACTTGCAATGCAGGAGACCCCAGTTCCATTCCTGGGTCAGGAAGATCCTCTGGAGAAGGGATACGCTACCCATTTCAGCATTCTTGGGCTTCTCCTGTGGCTCAGTTAGTAAAGAATCTGCCTGCAATGTGGGAGACCTGGGTTTGATCCCTGGGTCGGGAAGATCCCCTGGAGAAGGGAGAAGATACCCACTCCAGTATTCTGGCCTGGAGAATTCCATGGACTGTATAGTCCACGGGGTTGCAAAGAGTCAGACACGGCTGAGTGACTTGCACTTTCAGGCTGCATCATTCTGTTTTAAACCACCACCATAGTTTCCTCTGTTGCTACATTTCTTTTGGGCTTCTCTCATAGCTCAGTCGGTAAATGTAATGCAGAAGACCCAGGTTTGATTCCTGGGTTAGGAAGATTCCCTGGAGAAGGAAATAGCAAACCACTCCGGTATTCTTGCCTGGAGAATCCCACGGACAGAAGAGCCTGGCAGGCTACAGTCCATGGTGTCGCAAGAGTCGGACACGACTTAGCGACTAAACCACCACCACATTTCTCATGCATAGCTTGGAAATTATCTTGTCTTATCCAAATAAACAGTGTCTCTATTACTACTACCAAAAAAAAAAAAGTGGGCAGAAGACCTTAATAGACATTTCTTCAGGGAAGACATACAGATGGCCAAGAGGAAGATGAGAAGACGCTCAACAATCACTAATTACTAGAGAAATGCAAATCAAAAGCACAACGAGGTGCCATCTCACTGGTCAGAACGTGTGTGTGCGCGCTTGTGCTCAGTCATGTCTGAGTCTGGGCAACGCTCTGGACTGCAGCTCACCAGGCTCCTCTGTCCATGGGGTTTTCCAAGCAAAAACACTGGACTGGGTTGCCACTTCCTCCTCCAGGGGATCTTTCCTACCCAGGGATTGAACCTGTGTCTCCTGCACTGAAGGCAGACTCTTCACTGAGCCACCAGGGAAGGGCACTGCGCAGAACGGCCTCATCAAACAGTCGAGTAACAAATCCTGAGAGGGCGTGGGGGAAGGGGACTCTCCTACACTGCTGGCGGGAATGCAAACTGGTGCAGCCACTACGGGAAATGGTAGGGCGGATCCTCAGAAAACTAAAAATAGAACTGCCATATGAGCTAGCAATCGCACACTTGGGAATATACCTCAACAGAACTATAATTCAGAAAGATACACACGCCACATATCCACAGCAGCACTGCTCACAACAGCCAGGATGTGGAAACAGCCTAAATGGCCGCCCACAGACGAACGGAAAGAGAAGACGCGGTCACACACACACAACGGAATACTAGTCAGCCACGAAAATGAAAATAATGCCGTTTACAACAACATGGATGCAACTGCAGATTATCATACTAAGTGGGCCAGAAAGTGAAAGACAAACACCATGATATCACGTATAGGTGGACTCTAAAATAGGACACAAATGAACCTCTCTATGAAAGAGAAACAGAATTGTGGACACAGAGAACAGAGGCGTGGGTGCCGAGGCAGAGGGGTTGGGGGAGGGAGAGGGTGGGAGGCTGGGGTTAGCAGATGGAAGCTGAAAATATAGGATGGATAAAGCACAAGGTCCTCATGTACAACACACGGAGACAGTGATATCCTGTGGTAAATCATAATGAAAAATTATTTAAAAAGAATGTGTGTGTGTAACTGAGTCACTCCACTGTATAGCAGACTGGCACAACACTGTAAATCAACTATATTTCAGTTAAAAACAGAGAGAGAGATCTCGTTGACAAAGCAGGCTGACTCGCAGACATAGAAAACAACCCTACGGTCACCAGAGGGGAGGGAGGAGAGACAGATTAGGAGGCTGAGATTAACAGGTACCTACTATATACAAAATAACCACCCACCTACCTACCATATAGCCCCAGGGACCACACTCAGTATTTTGTAACAAGTTATGAGGGAAAAGGCTCTTTCAAAGTGTATTATATTGCTGTCAGTCTGTCCTCACTCAAGCCCTCCCGGGTTCCCCCAGCAAAGGACACTGCCCCCGCTATGGGCTCAGAGCCCTGAGGGAGGGGCCCTGCGGTCCACACGGGTGCCTCCAACCTGAGGTCCGGCCCCCCGACCCTCCCTGCTGCCCAACAAGCAAAGTTACAGAGATCGCGAGTGAGCCTTCAGAAACACTGACGGCAATCTGCCACTGGCACACAGCCAAGAGTGTGACTGACGGGCTGGGATTGTACATGTTTTGCTCTGCTTTTTATTTCATTTTTCTAATTGCTCATTTTTATTGTATTTTACAGTCAGTGGGCAACAGTGTGGAAATGTTAAATGTAAATATACATTCAGAAGCAATGAACTAGATAGCTTATGATTAAAGAGCAGTTGGAATGATCTTTTAAGCAAAATATGCCAACAGCACTGTTTTTCTGATTAATGAACACTGCTTCTACTACTAAATATCAAAGCATTTCCAGGGCTTCCCTGGTGCTCCGCTGGGTAAGAATCTGCCCTGCAATGCATAGTTTGATCCCTGGCCTGTGCTCCACAACACAGAGAAGCTGCCGCAGTGAGAAGCCTGCACGCTGCGATCAGGGAGGAGTCCCCGGTCTCCGGGACTGGAGAAAACCCTGTGTGTGGCAACAAAGAGCCGGTGCAGCAAAGACACGAACAAAAACGTGTTTAAAAAAATAGATATCGAAGCGTCACCCTGCAAATGGAAAGCTGTAATGCTAAAGAGAACCCTACATACCTTCTTCGGTGAAGAATTTTTCTACAGGTCCCACAAACTGATTAATTTCCTTAAGTTCATCTTGGCTAACTTCTGGAAACGGGAAAACTTCTTTCTGAAAATGATGAACACAGTAAAGATGTAACTGTGGGCAATCTTCCACAGCGGTCATATCAGTCAACAGGGAAGGGAAAGGACGCGCCAGTGTCCGCATCGGCTGGCCGAGCCTTCCGGGCCGAAGGAACTGGACAGCAAACTTCAGCAGGAGATCGGGACACAAGAACTGTGTCAGACTCCACCTCCTCGGTCCAGCCTCCTCCCTGACCCAGATTATCCCCGATCCTGATCAGCTTTCCTTACTAAGAAGTGATGAGGACTCCTATGAAACAGGGAGCCTGGGCTAAGGCTTCAGCTCCAGCACAGTCCCTGATGTGCAAGGCGTTCTTAGTCGGGCCCCTTCCCCCGTTCCCAGGGCCACTTTCTCACCCAGAAAATGCAGGTGATCTCTGTGAGAACCAGGGAAGATAATGGACGAGAAGGCTCTTTACTAAAAACATCAAAGCTCACCTTAGTTATGTCGTGAGCTTAAAAACGCTGCCGCTGACAAGACCATACTGTGGTCGCAAGGTCTGACTTCTTGGTGGGCTGCTGCGCAGCTGCGTGCTCTAGGACCCGCCCCTCTGTCCGAGGACCCCTGACCCCTGCTACCTGGGCTGAGCATGCCAGGAGGCAGGGCCACCAAAGGAGGCCCCGCTGAGGAGCCTCATCAGCCTGAATGCAGCCCTGACTCTGATGCTGTGGAGCGCGGCATCAGTTTCTCCCGTTACAGGTGACGCCTCAGTAGGCCGCTGTGCGGCTCAAATGAGATGACGTGTCCTGAACATGCAGTGACTGACCAGGGAGCGGCTGGGGCTTCCACCCGAGCCTGGATTCCCCACGAGGCCTCCGCTCTATGTCACCTAAAATCATCCCACTGAGACTTCAGCCCCTCTAGCTTTTGGGCACTGCCCTCCCCTTCAGCTGCCAGCATGACCTGACTTTCTGGATTTGACCAGCGCCTGCTGAAAAGTGATGTCCCAGCCCCCAAGCCGCCCCCAGGAGCCCGGCCTCTCCTCACAGCACCTCTCACCAGGTGAAAATCTGTGAAAGGAGAGTAGTCCTGTCTCCTCCCTCCAGCCCACAGGCTCTCAAATCTGTTTTCTCCTCTTGGGCCCCCTGTACAAGTGAAGGGTGGATTCCAGCCAAAATTGAGAGCTGACTTAAAAGGAATCCCTGCCTCCAGGCCACCTCTGACTTGCCCCTCAGGGGGTCTGGAAGGAAATCATGCAGAGCTGTCATCATTCCGCAGCCACTTAGAACAAAGCTGGCTCTTGAGCTGAATACAGAAGCTGAGTCCACTGCACTGGCCTGCACAGCCTCATGGGCTCACCTAGGCCTGCTGCAATGGCTGCATTAGAGGAAGAAGATTCTGGAATCAGTCAGCAGCCAAGTGAGAAAAGAGAACAGAGTGGGACCAGTTTGGCCTAAACTCCAACCAAAGGAGAACCCACCAGGAGAGAGGTCTCGAGCATACGTGAGAATGAACCTCTGATGGCAATATTCAGGGTCTGAATGGGGTGCTTCGTGGGTGCTCGGTTCAATTTCATTTGCAATTTTCAAATTTTTGAAATCAGTGGAACTGGGTTTTCCAATTATTCTACATATGTAGAAACCACACATGTAACACGGATGAAAGACAAGTTGCTCCTGGCCGAGGCTGTGAATGGGGAGAAGAGTTACCCAGATCCCTCCCACGGGTTCCCACAGGAGACCCGCGGGCATTCTCGGAACACTCTGAGGGCAGGGGGACAATGGCGTGATCATGAAGGTCTCCTTCCAGGTTGAGATTCTAAGCATCTCTGCTGCCACGTTGCTGCTCAAACCCCAACAGTGCTGAGAGAGACAGTGTTGGCCTGAACCAGGGCAGTACCAGTGCAAGTGCTTAAAAGCCGTCCGATTTGAAATGGAACCTGAAGGTAGAGAAGCTAGGATCTGCTGTCAGAATAGATGTGGATTATGACAAGAGGCACCCCCAGGTATTTGACCTTGAAATGGAGCAGGACCCTATGGCCCTTGCCCTACCATGTCCTCAGCCTGCCTTTTGTCTTCAGCCAAAGAATGAGTTTAATCAGAGCAGTGAGAAAATGAAGAAAGAAGGGAACAGAGTCGAAGGAGACCAAATGATAGAGCAGTCACTAAGCACAGTCAGGCCCTTTAGTTCCTTCTCAAGGGCTAAAGGTGAGTCTCCACCTGGGGGAAGAAGTTAACTTCATGATGACCAGACTCTAGCCATGACATGAGCTGCTATAATTTCGAGAACTGGCCTCACAGAAATGGGAACTGACCCTGGAACTGAAGACTGCTGCTGCTGCTAAGTTGCTTCAGTCGTGTCTGACTCTGTGTGACCCCATAGACGGCAGCCCACCAGGCTCCCCCATCCCTGGGATTCTCCAGGCAAGAACATTGGAGTGGGTTGCCATTTCCTTCTCCAGCGCGTGAAAGTGAAAAGTGAAAGTGAAGTCGCTCAGTTGTGTCCGACTCTTAGGGACCCCATGGACTGCAGCCCACCAGGCTCCTCTGTCCCTGGGATTCTCCAGGCAAGAGCACTGGAGAGGGGTGCACTGCCTTCTCCAAGAACGGAAGACCAACTGTACTTAAAACAACCAAGATGGTGCTGGTCAGTTCACTGACGACCAATTTCAAGATGACTGTCAGAGCTGACTGTGCTGTTTTTGTATATAACCCCCTCCCTCAGTATATAAAAGCTCTTGCCTGCAGGTGGGGTGGGGGAAGACAGTCGGCCTACGGACAGGGCCCCCACCTCCCACCTCCAACCCTGGCTGTCAGCATCCAAAATAAAGCAAACTTTCCTTTCCACCCAACTGGCCTCTTCACTGACTTCTGAGAGGTGAGCAGCCGGACTTCCCTTTCGGCTACAACCTGAACAAGTGGAACGGCAGAGTCACCACCATCTCCAATAAGACGACCAGAGGGAAAGGCAGGATCAGACCAGGCACTCAGTTTTGGATGACAGGCGATGCCTAGTAATACACAAGTGCAGCTTTTGACTGGAAAGGTAGATATACAGAGACTGGAGCTCAGGGGAGAAATCTCACCTGGGGAAATAAATGTGCACCTTCAGCATGCTGATGGCATGATACTAAACTAGATCATCAGAGGAATGGTTACAGATGAGAAGACTACACACAGACTGTCTATATACTAGACAATTCCCACTCCAACTCAGTTGGTCAGAAATGCCGGCCAATGTTCAGATGTCAAAGAGCCAAGAAGGGATCAATGCTCTTGAGTAGCTGAGAAGGCTTGGGGGTCCGGCTGCCACTGTGATGCAGAGCATGCAGACCACATGTGGGAAGCAGGTAAGTGTAGAGGTGGAACTTCTTACCTAAATGGGTGCATTTTCTCAATAAACAAGAAGCAAGGCCAACAGGTGAGAGTGATGGGGGAGACGGTGCTAAAGGTTTGGAGAAAGGGAAGCATAAAACATGTGTATTCTTTCTTCCCCATGCTGCTGAGAGGCACGAGTTCCCAGGACGGAGCACCACACAGCCCCAGGTTCTGGGGGAAATGGCTTCCCTAACTTTTAAAGGCCTAGCTTTGCACTTTTTAGCAGGGCAAACCATTCCAGTCTGGGTGTCTGCACCTGTAATGCCTGACAACCTTAAAGAATGCTCTAGAGAAACCAAGGAATAACTCCTGAAGCAGCACAGAAGCAGCCAACATCGCAGCCAAGCTCCGAGCACTTGACACACATTTTTCTTTGGTTTCCCGGCTACCTGTAGGAGGGGATAAAGACTGCTTTTACTGTTTCCTGTATGAGAGCTGGGAGCAACTTCACAGGACTGGTTAGCCCAAGCTCACAGCACTAGTAGGTTTTGCAGCCAGTACTGATTACTCAATCTGCGGTCTCTTACATCTGCCCCACGTGCGGCAGTTTAATAAAGCATTTCGCTTCCCAACACACACACAGGAAGGCACACACACACACACACACACACACTTCGTCTGTCCCATGTGCGGCAGTTTAATAAAGCATTTCGCTTCCCAACACACACACAGGCGCACAGACACACACACACACACGCGGCAGTTTAATAAAGCATTTCGCTTCCACACACACACACTTCGTCTGCCCCACGCGCGGCAGTTTAATAAAGCATTTCACTCACTCACTCTTTCGGGGCCGGGACGCTGAGCGGAGGGTCGCTCAGCGCCCACCTCACCCAGGGTCTCCCGAAGCAGGAGCACGCGGCTCCTCAGAGCCAGGGGGCCGGCACGCCCGCCTTCAGGTGCGTTTCTGAGGCAACGCGTGGGGGCTCTGGAGCGGGCTCCACTCGCCCCTCCGCGGAAAGGGCAGAAGGCAGAGACCGCGGCGCCGCCTCACCTTCTTCATCTTGCCCAGGAAGAGGTCCTTGGCGAAAGCTCGGCTCGGCGGACTGGTGAGCAGCGGGCGCCGGCTCACGGTGAAGGCCGCTGGAGCGCGGCAAAAGCGCGCCGCCACCGAGCACAAGAAGAGCCCACAACCGCTCATGCTGCCCGCGGAGACGCTCTGGCCTCTGCCGCGGCCTCTCCCCGGGGCCTCAGTCACTGCCCGCTGAGCGCGCACCGCCGATGACGCCATCCGCCCGCGCCGCCCCCCCCCCCCCCCGGCCGCCCCCCCCCCCCACCCGGCCGCCAATGCGCCTGCGCGGCCTCGGGCTCGGGCCACGGACGGCTCGCTGATTGGTCGGCGGCGGCGGCGGCGGGGGTCGGGGCACCGCAGTCGAACACCCGCGGTCTCTGCCGAACGTGGTCAGTCTCCGGCTGGGCCTGCAGGGACCAAGTGAGACTGAAGAGAAGGGGACGGGCCCTTCCCTGGTGGTCTCGTGGTTGAGACTCTTCCTGCCAACGCAGAGGACCTGCGTTAATAGACCTCTGATCCGGGGACGATCCCCCCGCCCCACATGCCTAGGGGCCACTAAGGCGAGCCAGAACTACAGAAGCCCCTGCGCGAGCGCCCAGTGCTCCGCCACAAGGGAGGCCCCCGCACTGCGAAGGCCCTGCTCTCCCCAGCTAGAGAGGGTTTTCAAGAAACAACGGAGGCTCAGCACAGCCAAACAAATAAATAAAAATAAATGTGAAACAATGTTAAATACAAATAAATTTAAAACCATTTTAAAAGCGGAGATGGGGGAAATTCACGGTATTGGTTATCTCTGAAGGGCATGCACATACGGTTACAGTCCTTGTTTCAAGTCAGTGGTCTATTCACGAGGATTCCTTTGGTTTTGCTTCATAGCTTACGTGTATGTCACACATTTGGGAGACGGAGGAAAAGGAAAGGGGTATTGCACCAGAAAGAAGCATGGATAAGACCCTGTAGTTACTACGTCCCTGGAAAACGCCAGCCTGAAGGTGGGCGAGGGACAGGACAGGGAGGAGGGGCAACCCCCACACACCCAGAAATGCCCTACAGGCCTTTCTCATATTGGAAATGCTTTCTGCCAACATCAGAACTCAAAGAATAAGGAGCAGTGCTTTCATCTTAACGTGCTGTGCCCGGCCCAGTAAAAGATGGACTTGTTTGGGTAAACATTTGATGATGAAGCACAGTCCTTGGGATGGACTTGAACTCACTGTCATTTAAACTGAAACCACACAACCGGTGTCAGGACTTACTGAAGCTCAGGTTCACAGAAAGAAGTCTGGTCACAGAAAGAAGTCTGGTCACAGGAAGAAATCAAGGAGAGGCAAAGTGATAGGCAAAGAGTGAGTCTGTTAGCATAGGACATTTGTGAGAGATACAAGCGGACTGGCAAGGGAACACAGCCCCAAGAAACAAGAGGGCTACCTCTTTATCATCTAAGAAAAAGCGGGGAGGGAAGACAAACTTCCTCCTCATTCTTGGGCAGCCATCAAGTCTTAGCATCATTCGTTCCTCCTTAGAGTCTACGTGGTCTAACCGGGGCTGTCCTGGCACTATTTAAATCATATTTATCTTAGCAAAAGTGTGGTGACATGGTCTAACACGTGGCAATTCATCTCAGGTCTCAGCAGAATGTCCCCTCTCGTCTAGTTTCTTTCCCCTTTCACCTGTATTTCTGTCTTGGCTGAATGCAAAAATGCTACTCTTAAAGGAACATTAACTCTAACTCTTCATGGAACAAGATTCAGATCCCGTATCTTTTGTCTTGTGTTTTAACTCTCAGGGTGTGTGGCTTGAGTGGGCCTGGTGCTTGGATGCACCAGATCTTCCTCCAAAGTAGTGTAGATTTTTGTTAGGTTACTGGATTCTTTTCTTGAGTGGTTATTAGCTTATAACAGTCTCCCAAACTGCCTTAAAATTCTCTGTCTTTAATCCTCTAGTGAGATTTCTAAACTGACTATCCTACTCTATCCTTATCAGTGACAGACCATCAGGGGAAAAAAAAAAGAGTTCAAAAACATTCTTGGTTGCAAAATACCTGTCCTTGCAGGCAACTTCTGCAATGTGTCATCTATTTTTCTTTAACTTGTGAAGCCTTGTCAGCTGGTTTCTTCATAGTGGTCAATATTTGCCAATGTCAGCATTCAGCTTCTCAAGAAGGCATTTGGTAATGACGGCCTGTGAACCATCTCTGCAGAAATGACACTGCTTGCTTTTAACTTTGAGCTGGTGAACGTTTGGGCCAAAAAAAAAAAGTAGTCTAATCAATCAAGTTATCCAATAATTTATCTGGATCCTCCCTGAATTAACCAAGTGAGAAATTCAGCTTCCAAAATAAAAATTAGGAAAAAATTAAGGCATAATTTCTACATACTCTAATAGCATGTACAGGGGAAAACGTTTTGGAGCACCACTACTTTGCCAGTGTCTAAATTCAGTTTCCCCATCTGTAAAAAATGAATATCATGTCACTTACCTCACAGGATTCTCATGAGGATTAGCTAAATCCATATGATAGCATCTACCACAGTAAATGATCATTGTTTTTCTTGTAATAATATAAAAATTAAAAACTGGGCACACACTCAAGTATTCCATCTTATACTTGAGTATTAGCCTTTGAGAAATAGGATGTCATTCGTAAGCAGTTTGCTTTAGACATAGAATTTCCACAGTTCACCTTTAAAACACCCACCATGGACGTACCTCTCCGATCATGTCATAACTGGTTCCCGTACATGACGTATCAGCAAACAACCCGGAGTGGCTGTGGAGTGGGTCTTAGCGCTCCAGGATGCTTGTTCCTAGACCTCTGCACATTGTCTGAGTAGGAAACTAGTCCCTCCCTCCTCAGCATGAAAGCCACACAATGGGAAGGTCGTGGAGATATTTACTAACACAGAACAGGAGGGAAAGAGGTGGCCTTGTCTCCTGCCCCAAGGCTGCAAGGGCAATAGTCGGTCATGAGAAGAGAGTCTAGTCAAGGTTCCTGCCCTCAGCGTCCTAATGATGTGCTCACAGGTGAGTCGTGCACGGGTATCACCAGTGCCATTTCCTGCTGAGAGAAGCTGACTGACGCCTCGCTGTCCTGACGTCAAAAGTCTGCAGGAAGAGAGGTGTCCTTCGGAGTACTCTGTCTCACAGATTGTGTCGTCCCTGGTACTTCCTTCCCTTTCAGATGTGTATCTGTCCCCTTTATCATGGGAATATGGAAGTCACTGGCTTGTTGAAAGCCACAAAGGTGATGAGGTATTGTTGGTTGAATTGTGTCCCCCCCACCCCACAAGATTCATTACTTGACATCCTAACCCCAGAACCTGACAACGTGACCTTCCCTGAAAAGAGGGTTTCCTATGGCATTCCACTGCAGCTGTGTAATGAGCTAAGTTAGGAAGAGGTCACAGTGGGGTGGGGTGGATCCCTACTCCAATATGACCGGTGCCCTTGTAAGCAGGAGAAATGTGGACACAGACATGTTCCCAGGAGGATGGTGTGTGTCTGGAGGTGAAAACGGAGCTCAAGATAATGCTGCTACAAGCCAGGGAAGGCTAAGAGGGCCAGCCAACCCCAGAAGCTGAGAGCAAGGCCTGGATCGGTTTCTCAGCCCTCATGAGGAACCAATCCTGCCAACACAGTGACCTTGGACTTTTAGCCCCCACAAGTGTTAGCCGATTGATATCTAAGCTCCTCAGTCTGTGGTTCTTTGTTAGAGCAGCCTGGCAGACTCAGACAGGAGGATGTGTGGCTCTGGGCACACAGAACTGAATAGGGCCCAAAAGTGACGCCAGGGCTGGGCAGTCTCAGAGCCAATACACCCCGAGCTCCAGCTGTGGTCTGGAATCCGTATGACTTCCTCCCGGTTTTAAGAGACCGGAATTGAAGAATGAGCGGTCATTCTCTGCTGCCTCCTCTTCTACTGGCTGGAGGCAGAGGAACCTGCCCTCAGTTGGCAGGACAAGGCAGGAGGAGCCTAGCTCTTCCAATATTGGTCTTTTCCTCCAAAAGAGGAAGGCCAGCCTGCAGCCCTTGGAGTTGCAGATGAGTCGGATACGCCGAGCATCCGTGTGCACGCCAAGCACCCGTGCGCACGCTGAGCACCCGTGCACACGCTGGCAAACTTGGTGGGCAGAGGGGGGTCTCTCAATTTGTCCTCTTTGTTCTCTCTCACTTCTGTTGCTGGCTGATCCGAAATCGGACGAAATCATTCTGACGGAGGTCGGAAGCCCCATCACGCCTTGCTCTCCCTCTCTGCCTCTGCCAGCTGCTCTGTGGCGGGTACACACCCTGAGGTCCAGGTTGCACCATGCATGGCCCTTGGTACCCGGGTGCCCAGTTCTCAGGCATTCTGCTCCATCCTTCCTACGCACTATCGTCAGTCTGAATGTTTTGGACTGACTCGTGTCTAAGTCCTTCTGCCTGGTTATGTGTCTTCACCAATCCCCTTCCTCCCCTTCCTCCTCCACCAGGCAAGTCACGGCCTACTCTAGAATCTGTTTCAACACCTATCAAATGATGAAATCAACACAAACATGGATTCCTATGCAAATTTAGTGGGCTAATGTTTAATTCTCCTCCCACTCCACACACCGTAAATTTCAGGGTCTACCCACCCTGGGAGAGGGGGTGAAAAAAAAAGTCTAGGAGGTGAAGAATCCGCCTGCAAGGAGCTCTAGTACTCTTGCCTGGGAAATCCCACGGACAGAGGAGCCTGGTGGGCTACAGTCCATGGGGTCGAAAAAGAGTTGGACACATCCTAGCCACTAAAGAACAACAAGAAAATCTAAAAATAGAGGCTCTTCAGTTTAAACTTGGTCACAGTGATAACAGCCTTTCAAAATCTCAGGAGAGTTGAAACAGTAACAGCATTAACAAAGACAAAAACAACACAGCTTTGATTTTTCCTTGTGTTTCAAAAGTCAAAATATCCTAAGATCCAACCAAGCCTGTATTGCCCCACTATTATGCTATGAAATGCATGTTAAAATAATACAAATGCTCTGTTGAAACCACCAGAATTTGCAAAGCAACTGCTGTAATGTAAGAGCTGAATAAGCTTATTAACTCACCGGGTCTTACCTCTTTGCACAAAGGCCAGCAGAGCCTGAAATCTTATCTGAAGATGGCCA